CTGCCGCGCTGCCCGTCTCGGCCCCGCTGGGGCGGCTGAGGGCGGCCGACGCTTCTCGTGGGGCTGCGGGTCCCCGCGGCGCTCTCTGGGTCTCGGGGGAGGGGCCTTGGCTGGGCCGGCGAGGAGGTGTCCGCTCGTGGCGCGCGAGGCAGCGAGTGCTGGGAAGCGGCGGACGCGGGCTCCCGGGGCGGTGTCAGACACTGACGCTGCCAGCCCTGCCGCGGGCCACGCAGCCGGGCCGATACCAGCTACCTGAAGGTAGCTCCTGGGCGCCCGCTGCTGAAAGCCTCCCGGGCTCGTGTCCCTCCGCGCCGCGGCCCCGCACAGATACACGCGTGGGCGGGGAAGCAGTCGCTTTATTCGTCGTTCTCGCCAACCTCGCTAGAGCTCTCCCCGACCCGCATCGCCCCCCTTCACTCAGCAAGGTGGGGGGATGGGGGCTAACGACCTTTCCTAGTCATGACTGGAGAAATCCCTTTCCGAGGCCAAGGTACCGATCCCCCCGCTGTTTTTAATCCGGTCTCTCTCAAAACCGAACTGAATTAGCTGCTACGAGAATCCAGAGATTACAAATGATTTTCCGATTGGACCTTTTTTCCAAAGCGCTGCTGACAATAAAGTTTTGGCGGCAAGAAAGGGTGTGTTCCTGGCAATCTTCTTTTGCGCTTCACTGTATTTCTTTTTTTTTACAATGAACTGCCCTAGCGCTTGTTTTTCCTCATGGCCAAGTCAGGAGAGTTGCTTAAATACATTTTCTGTGTTACAAAGCTGTTGACAAGAGAGTTGGAGCAGCCTGCTGCGCCCACACCATGGTCTCACCGGCAGCCAGTGTGTGTAGCCTGTTGTAGATCAAGCAGGAAGCAGAAAGCAGAGGAAGAGAAGCTGAGTGACACTAAGGAGGCCATGGACTTCAATTTAAGGCACACCTGCCAAAAAGATTGGCCCTTGCTGCTTTAAAACTAGAAAGTCACACAAAACAAAGACAATGAATGGGTATTAATATAAATATATTTTTCTTAGTAATATTTCATAAAAGGTGAATATTCTTAGCCTTATTTTTTTCAGATCAAAGGCTGTATATGTATGTGTGTATTTCTTAGTCAGGCAGGGTTCTTTGAGTAGATGTGATATCTTTTATTAGACCACCTGAGTAGTTGGAAAAAAGTTCTTAGCAAGCTTTTGGGCACAGTCACCCTTCATCAGGCACAGGGAGTCTCTTAGTAGCATTTTATAAAAAGTGAATATTCTTAGCTTTCATTTGTCCTGAACCCAACTTAATATATGGGCTGGGTGGGGGATGCCTGATATAAAATAATTACTTTATAAGATATGTAATGGTGCTTATTTAATTGTGCAAAATACAGGAAACAAAAAGATAAGCTTCCTGCAGTGATTCAGTGGCCACATAAGTGTGTGTGTGTTTGTTATTATCTGATCACAGTGCAACAACACAAAGTGTTTGATCCACAGGTTGACATAAAGAAACAAATAAATTTAACTTTTAAAATATATTTATAGTTGCTTTATTATGCGATGTAATTGTAAGAAAAGTAATGTATGGTAGTTCCGTTCAGTTTTATTATACGATGTCATAGACTTAAGTGTGTGTCCTCATTTACTATATGGTTATAATTAAATGATAACTTATTGAAATACAGGCAAACCTGGGTCAGAACAAAGGCTATTTTAGGAATATAAAATATAATACAATATTCTTTTCCTATAACTATATATCTTCCACTTGCATTGGTGTATGTTGACTCTTTTTAATATAGCAGCACTAGCATACTTGCACTAGAATGCTAGATGATGCTGAGACAGTTTAGTTATAACATTTGTCCTAAAAAAGAGAGCGTGATCTCTAATGAATGGGCCAATATACCGCAATGTCAGTCAGAGATATGGAAATTCCCAGCTTAGGGTGGGTGGCCTTGAGCAAAGCTCTTCACCTCTTAGGCCTCTGTTTCCCTCTTTGTAAAATGGAGATAATGATCATAGAAACTAAGGCCTGGAAGGAACCTCAAAAGATCATCAAGTCCAACCCCCCTGCTCAGAATCATAGAAATTAAGGCCTGGGAGGGACCCTGAAAGATTGAATCCAACACACAGGCTCTGGGCAGGAAAACTGCTGAGATCAAATGATCCCAGCAAGGTGGCTGTCCAGTCTCCTCTTAAAGAAGTCCAAGGTTAGGGACTGCACCACCTCCTTGGGAAGTCTATTCCAGATTCTGGTTACTGTTATTGTAAAGAAGTTCTTCCTTATGGCCAACCTGAAACCATCCTCTAAAAATTTATGGCCATTGCTCCTTGTCCTCCCCTGGGACACCCTAGTAAACAGTTTTTTCTCCCAGCTCCCAATATTCACCGCTTACATACTTACAGGCAGCCACCATTCCCCCCTCAGTCTTCTCTTCCCCAGGCTGAATAGTCCCAGATCCCTTAGTCTTTCCTCATAAGGTTTGTCCTCCAGGCCCTTAATCATTCTTGTGACCCTTCTCTGGACCCTTTCAAGATTCTCCATGTCTTTTTTGAAGGGTGGCACCTAGAACTGGACACAGTACTCCAGCTGGGGTCTCACCAATGCCAAATAGAGAGGAAGTATCACTTCCTTAGCCCTGCTTGTGACATATTGGCTAATGCATCCCAATATGCTATTAGTTCTGTTGACTACAGCATTGCACTGGCAGTTTATGTTCATCCCATTATCAACCATAACCTGAGATCCCTTTCAGTCATCGTGCTGGCCAGGACATCTCCACCTAACCTATATTCTTGTCACTGGTTACTTTTCCCCAGATGAAGCACCCTGTATTTATCCTTATTGAACTGCATTTGGTTCCGCTCCACCCACCTTACCAGCTTGTTCAGGTCCACTTGGAACCATATCCTATCCTCTAGCATGACCGCTTTTCCCCATAACTTAGTATCATCTGCAGACTTGGCCAGCAAACTTTCCACATCCTCATCTAAATAATTGATAAAGATGTTGAACAGTACAAGGCCAAGAGCTGAACCCTGCAGGACACCACTGGCCACCTCCCGCCAAGACGATACAGACCCGTCCACTAACACACTCTGGGTTTGACCCCTTAGCCAGTTCCCAACCTACCTGACAGCAGACTATGTCAGCCAACAATCACAATCCCCCAGTTCTTTTATAAGATCATCATGGGAGACCATCTCAAATGCCTTTTTCAAATCCAAGTATATGACATCAACCTTGTCTCCCACACACAAGCAGTTTGTTACTTGATCATAGAAGGAGATGAGGTTGGTCAGACATGACCTGCCCACAACAAAACCTGGCTATCCTTGATAGTCCTGCCTTCTGCCAGTCTTTCTCAATTTTATTTTTTATTTAATTTGTGTCCACAGACAAATTAGTCAAAATTAATTCCAAATCCAAGTGTCCAGAACCATAAGTGGCCCTGCTACCAGCAAACATCCTCCACCCGCACCTGGGGCTTCAGATGTTTCCAAAACCTTTGTTGGGCCAGTCTCTCACAAATGGACTTCTTGATAATTTTTTCCAAAATTGTACCTGGTATTGAGGTAAAACTGACTGACCTATAGATTACCAGATCCTCCCTCTTCCTTTTTAAAGAGTGGCACCACACTGGCCTTTTTCCAGTCTTCCAGGACCTTTCCCAAGCACCATGAGTCTTCAGATACCTTCACCAATGATTCCACAATGACTCCAGCCAATTCCCTCAGTACTCCCGAGTGTAGTCCATCCAGTTCTGCCAACTTAAAGACATTCAGCTGCTCTAAGTGCTCCCTCACCAGTTTGACACTGACCATTGGTCCCTTCCCAGCATCCACCCAGTATCCAACCAGGCGGGCGACCACCATTTGTATGTAAGAACATGGATGCAAATTATTCATTAAAGAGTTTAGCTTTCTCCTGACTGTCTGTTATCAGCTGTCCCGTCCCATTCTGCAAGGACCCCGCATTTTCCTTGGTGTGGACTTCTTTCATATACTGTTTTGAGACTGACTGGTGAAAAGTGCAATGTAAATGCCAGATATTATTATTTAAACTGTAGGGAGGGCAGAATGTTTGAAACAAGAAAGATACAGAAGAGGAGGAAGTGGCATGAAGCTAGTGCAGCTGTGGGTAAAACCAAGGCCTCAGTTGAACATCCTATTGAATGTACTGTGCTGCTTCTACAGAAAAATGATTACTCCCTTCATTGT